GCTTGGGGCTGCAATAGTTCTCAGAGTCCCTCTGTAGCCCAGCACCATTCTAGCTGAGCCTTCTGGCATGAGTAAGAACAGCCTTGACAAGTCCTAGGGGCAGGGTTGGTAGCTGGAGGTGCTTGGGTTCTATGGACCATCGTGACCATGCTCCTTTTTCTGTGGCTTCTGGGCCCACTGATAGCAGGGCCAAAGAGGGCAACTGCACCATCGATTCAAAAGGTCCCAGGGCTCCCAGCCACTGCCACCGCCACTGCTAGTGCAATAATGGCCAGAGCCCTGGGCTCTTTAAATCACCACTGGAGCACTGTGTAGAATGCTCTGGGGGACTCTGGGGGCTGGCTTCCCCTAGCCTTGCCTCTTCCATCAAAGGCTCCACCCCTTCAGGGAGCACGGAACTGGTCCCCCATGCACCTTGACCAGGGCCCAGCAAGACTGTCATCCCCCTGGTGGCTACACTTTCTACTCAATGAAGGATGGTCTGGAATAGGAACCGAGCAGCTCTGGAATAGTTTGAAGCTGCTTCAGTATCACCAAGAATTTACCCCCAAGTATTTTCTCCTATTATACCAAGAACAAATACACAGGGAAGAAAGAAAAGGAGTCATTTCCAAATAGCATTACAAATACCACTTAAGCAATCTGCCTGTTTCCTAAGAACTTAAGAGTCCAACACTGATGTACCATTAAGGCTCAGTTTGGTTAACCACACTAAACAAGTGGTTAAGACCCATTGACATTAATTGGACTCAAGCACTCTTAAATGATTTGCTGAATTAGGATGTAAACTTGCCAGGGCCTATTGACATACATAATTAGCATAATAGGTAAAAGCAGTAAGCCACCAAAAGGAAATGTCAAACAATAACAGTCCAGGAATGGGACGGGGGGTAGGGCCCATTAAGTCACATATGATTTTCTTAATCTTTTCTCTCTCTCTTTTTACCTTAAAGTACAGAAAATTTGCCTCATGGGAAACCTTAATTTTTTTTAAGATGGAACTTGTGGGCAGAGTGGAAGAAATCTGTTCATTTAATTGGTCTACCTTAATTCAATCAGTGAGTTGCAGGCCCAGTTGCATATCTCACTTCCTTGCAGAGTCATCAATACATAGAAGTCAACAAAAAAAGTATGCAGTCAGTACAAATAGATGTCCAGTTTTTTGCTTGTTCCACCATTAGAAGAGTTCAGAGCCTCCAAGAGTCTCCCAGCTTCACAGTGGACCAATACATGGACCATGCTTCACCTGGCCATGTTTAAAAGTATGCATCCTATCTTGGGGTGTGTCTAAACTACATGGCTCCATTGATGGAGCCATGTAGATTAGGCTGACTGTCAAAGGGAAATGAAGCCGCGATTTAAATAATCGTGGCTTCATTTAAATTTAAATGGCTGCCACGCTGAGCGGACAAACAGCTCATCAGCTGTTTGTTGGCTCAGCACACTAGTCTGGACGCTCCCGTGCAGACCTGAAAGCCCGTTATCAACCTCCCCATTATGCCTTGTAAGATGAGGTTTACCGGGGAGGTCGATAAAGGGCTTTCATGTCGGCAGGGGAGCGTCCAGACTAGTGTGCTGAGCCAACAAACAGCTGATGAGCTGTTTGTCCGCTCAGCGTGGCAGCCCTTTTAATTTAAATGAAGCCACGATTATTTAAATCGCGGCTTCATTTCCCTTTGCCAAACAAACAAATCTACATGGCTTCGTTGACAGAGCCATGTAGTTAAGACGTACCCTTGGATGCAGTGTGAAAAGAACACTCAAACTCAAATAACCCAGACCCATCTACCCACTTGATTATTAAGAAAAAGCACAACATAAGTGATCATTACCAGGTCCTTCCATTTTATAGGAAGTATTGTGATCTTTAGCAAACTTCTGAAAGCCCCATTGTGCAGAGTCAAATGATTGTGAAAATCCCAGCTGTGGGGTGTGGGAGGAGGTTAAGTAACTTTCTAATACTCATGGCTTTGGAACACACCTTGAAATCATGGCCAGGGGACACCATGAAGGCTCAAAACCCAAAAAGTAAAGAAAAATATAATATAAACATTATGGGGTTTTTATATAATTGAGGAGAGTTTAAGCCAATCTCATGATTTTCGGGGAGCATAGCTCATAAAATTTTAGCACTTGGGTTTGGTGATACTGTATGAATGTTCCTGACTTTGTATCATTTAAGTTTGTAAGAGCTTTGCCACTGGCTTCAAAATCAGGTTACTTATTAAGAGGAGAGAGAGAGAGAGAGAGAGGACAAAGATCTTGCTTACATTAAAAAGAGTTCCTGAGCCAATTCTATAATTTCTACAGTATAACATTCACTGTTCCTACTAGCTGTAAATGAAATGCACTTCATCAGCATACTTATGGCCCATTTGTATAGTCTTTTTGTTCCCTGCCAGAGCTCTTTAACCAGCTTCTCTATGTTCTTTAAGTGGTTAGGAACAGGGGAATCTCTAACACTGCAAAAATTACACTGCCTGCAAGACACAGGTGCATGCCATATGAGAAGGTGAAAGGGAGATTGTGAGAGGTACACAGAGTTCTGAACACTTAGTGCATTCATCAGAAGTGCAGTTGTGCATCTGTTATGTGTTTTATTGGAGGATGGGTTGTTGTTTAACTAGTAGTTTTGGAAATACTGAAGTATTTGGGGAAAAAGAACAGTTAACAAGGGGTTTCACTCCCAAAATGGAAATCTTTGGAGATTGGGTAAACATGAATTTACATGTAATGTCTAAAGAAAAGTAACATCTCTTTCTCTCTCCTGAGTACAAGTAATGTTGAATAGACAAAAAAGTTAGACATTATTCCAATTCCTATACTGTGTTCATAGATATAATACAGAAGGATTATATCTATGGAAGTGGGGATATTAGGGAGGTGATTAGAAGGAAGTGGGGATATTAGGGTGGTGATTAGAGCTGCTGAATTCTCTGCTCCAGACCAGGCTAGAGCAGTTTAGAGGCTGTTCTAAGTTAGGTCAGCTAGCTATAATCCATGGGCAGGCCATATGTCTGCTGGTAATTACCCGAGCATAACATAATCTGGGACTTTCCCTTCTTGGCTCCCAAAAGCCTCATTCACTAAAGATTGAGGGGATGTAGGTAGATATAGGAATTGGCTATGTTAACCTGATGCCCACAGAAGACAACCATACATTAGAGCAATTCCAGGAAGAGGGCTTTCAAGTGATAAAATAGGAGTCGAATCTACTCTCCTAGTTGAAAGAGAATGGAATGTGGCCAAAAAAAATGCCACAAAACTTTTCAGTACACAACCTAGACAATGTTAACTGTAGTTTAATAGTTGTTGAGAAAACCATCCGCAAACTCTCTCAACAAAAAATGTCCAGCCTTGAATGTCAAATCTATATTCCCTTTGCATCCTCCCAGCAAGACTTAAGAGTCAAACTAATTTCCTTCCCCGCAAAATGCTTGTGCCCCTTCTTTGTGACCACTGAATCCATTGTCTCTTCATGGCTTTTTTCTATAAATATCTAAAGTGTAAAAACTTTCTAAAGCCCAAGTTTTCTTGGCTCCAGGCTTCTGTCATTTCGGAAATATGCCAAAGCAGCTACGATTTAATTAAAGGAGGCAGTACTATACAGCCCATCATTTGGAAATGAAGAGCAAATTGAGCTCTAACCTGGTTTTAATAGATTGCAGAAAAATCGTGCAAAATCGGTGTGCCTTTTTGGAGGATTCTTTTAAGAATGAACTAAAAAGAAAAGAGGTTGAATCCTAAGCCGAGCTGAGACTGTACATGATGCATGCAAGTGGTGCTGGGAATAGTCACAAAGGTGGCTTTCTGCCATGTATAGATTCTTCATAATCTTAGGAAATCTCCTGGTAGCTAGTTATGTCAGCTACTTAGCTGAATTGTGGCACCAGAGCAGTACAAACCAGCTCTGAGGAGTAGGGAGATGGATCTGGCCTTTAATTATACTTGTTGAGGTGGGGTGACCCATATAGGCTGAAACTACAATATTTTCATGAACTCCTGCTGCCTGAAACCACCAAATGTCATACAGGTCTATCCTCCTGAGTACAACTCTATGTTATGTGCAAGCAGCTGACACACACATCACCTTGTATATCTATTTTCTCTCGTGTCGTCTTGATTTTTCTATCCTATCACCCCTGGTTCATATAAACATCATGAGGGAGACCATTGCTGGCCAGGAGTGCGTGTCCAGCTCTGAAAATTTGCCTTAACAATTTGAGATGTACCAGTGTTATCTCCCTAATTCTAATCCCAATTCATTCAGTCATTTGGGATTTGTACTAATTTGGGGCACACCATTCCAATTTTTTAAGCACAAGTTCCCTGTAGCATCAGTGAGATATTGCACTTAAAACTTAATGTCAGACTATATATGATTCTTTAACTTAGATCCAAGCCTACGGAATCAGAGGATGTTTTTCATCTAATATCTTTAGATGACAATCTTTGAATGCCTGATGTTCGGAATGGTTAAAGTTGTTTGAGTGAATATTTTATTTTCCCAGATTTCTGTATGATTGTTATACTGTCTTTCTGGATTACGTCAGCATGTGGCAAAATCTTCTCTCCTTGTATTCTACTCTGAGAGCTTTGTTCAAAAACCTAATACGGTGTTTAAAAATCCAACTGTCATATAAAGGCATTAACAAGCTGAGGAATATCGGATTGCTCGGTAATTGGAGAGTAAAAACCAAAGAGGACAATGACTTGTGAAGAGATGAGCAGAGAGGAAAGTACATCATTCACAGAGCACAGCATCAAATGTCCCCAGAACATCTGCACATGTACAATTCTACCCCATAAAATGCTAAAGCAATTCTCTTCAGCTCTGCTAAAACTACACAGGTCTTTCTATAGGTCAGTATACAGAATTAGAGAGTTAAAAACAGTCAATTGACCCCTAAAGATACATACAGATAACTCATACAGTATCTGATTCTATCGGATCAGAAAAAAAATTGAAAACAATGAAAAATCTTCCAGTTTGGGAACATTTTTATTTGTATGAGATATTTCCTGTGTTGCTCTTCCCTCGTTCTTTAAAAAGTAAATACCATGACAGAGAAACAGGAAAGTATGTATCGAGTTCATCTGTTCCTTCTTCTTGCTGTGACAAACTGCAAAATAGATAGCATAGTGATACAGATATTAAGACTTATCATTATTAACAATAGTAACATTTTTGGATGGGATATTATATCTTTTGCTTCTGGGGATGAACCAATCACAGGTATTAGAGACTAGGATGGGGTGGGGACAGACTATCTACATCTGACATCTCCTTAAGAATATTGTCCAGTATTTTGCCTCAAACAGTGGCCAGAAACGGGACCATTGCTCTGGTATGGCAATTCCTACGTTCCTATCAGTTCTTTAAATGATATCAGTATAAGGTTCCACTTTTCCAATCACTATTGATATTTAAATAATTATTTATATGCTTGGATTTTCTAGGCTGAAATATTATTAAACAATGTGTTATATATTTTCTACCAGTAAACAGTATGCTAAATGAATCAATTAGTACTGTACTTTGTGTCAAATCTCTTTTTTCTTATTCACTTGAATTTAAATGCTTTGACATGTACCAATAGCATGAGCAGAACTCATCCCCATTAACAGCTCTGTCAACATCAATTTATAATGAAAATTAACTAGGTGCACTTTCATACATTAATTATAAAGCTGCTGGTTTTGATCTCTACACAGTCAAGACAAAAATAGATTTTTCAAGAAAATTATACTGGTAAATAGGTGCACTGGACCTTGGATCGGATACGTTATACACATTTGATTGTGGTCTTACTAGTTTATGCACCTGAATTATTTGGAATTTAGGGATGGATTGTACCTTTAAAACTATAAATAGCCAAGGAGACCAACCCATCACCCAGGGACATCCAGGGGACAAGGAGACTTGGTTTTTTAACAAGAGAGAACATGGAGTTTAAGTGGAGTCTGTGCACTGCATTAACCCAGCTCTAAAGAGACAAGCCAATGCAGCCAGTCTCCACCTTGTGCACAATTCTTTTTCTGAAAATGCCAATATTCATTTTGTAAATATTTGTGCACATCCCCAAAATGTCATCAGATTTGTGAATTTAACTCAAGGAGAAGTGACACTATTTTAATTAATGAACACAGATTTTCTATGAATGTAGCCAAAATGTTTGCACAGCATTAAGAATTTTCTCTCTTTTTATATCTACTTCTCTGATTTTCCTCATCTAATTCCTATCTAATTCCCTGCTATGTGTATTGACACTTGCATTGATGTCAACTCTTACTATTTTATCACAAACCCACTGATAGCTGATGTTTTTCTGTGCTCCTGTAATTACAACAAATTTTGAGTTTTCATTAAAGCAGATATAGGCTTCTAGCCCTAATGATTGTAGAGATGTACTTAAAAACAGGGACCCTAAAGGGTTTAATGTCAGAAATCACACAAAAATAAACTACGTGTATTATTAAATCTCATGATTTTTAAGTCAGTCTCTTGATTTTGGACATCCTGATGATTAAACGCTTGGGGGTGGCAATTCTGAAACTGGAAAGCTGTTGTTTCAGCTTATGTTTGACTCTGTCTCAAATCCATTTTACTGAGTCATTACTAGCTGCTGATTATCAGAAAAAGGAAAAAGACTTGATATTCTCTGACATTAATCTGTACTATAATATGCAATTTTTGTGTGTCCTGATATCATCCCTCAAAATGTTATTAGTCCACTACCAGCGGCTGAGTGGACTATTATCACTTGATATGAGTGAAGTGTTATGGATCCATCAGCAGAACCTTTACTGTACTATTACACAAACGTGAACATGGGCAATTATTCAGAATCAGCCATGGCTTTGGTAAGGAGCTGGTGCTGTGCATAAATTAAAATATTCACTCTGCTTATGGCATCTCTTCACCCTTATGCTCAGGCAAAATGTTTGTCCATGATAAAATATCATACAATGGGCTTTTTGATGACAATATTTTTCATTCATTTTTGAAAAATACATGATCATTACAGCCTAATTTTATATTGCTATCAAATACACTTACGCAAAATGGATGCACTTGATTATTTTCCCAAAGTAAAAAAGCTCTGTAGCTAAATGCCTTTTTCCCAGTTGAATAACCATTTCTAAAATAACAAATGATTCAAATCTGAAGACCACAACAAAGTCTGGGGCTTTTCTTCACAGCGTCAAGCTGCATCTGAACCTATGCAGACCTATACATAATTTCCTTGGGATTTCTGTACATTGACTGCCACTTAATCACAGATTTTCCTTTTATAGTTTTATTGTCAGATGGAATTTTATTTTATTTTCTAAAAACCAATCAGTATATTGAATACTGACAACACAGAGGAAAGGGGGAAAAAAACAGGTTTAAAAGTAGGTTGACCAGATGTCCTCATGTTATAGCAACAGCACTGACATTTGGGGCGTTGTCTTATATAGGCATCTATTACCTCCTACCCCTTCCCAATTTTTCACACTTTTTGAGCTGGTTACCCTATTCAAAGGGTGCAATATACATGAAGATGTCAAAGAGTGCTATTTAAGTTTCATGATAACCCTCTCAGGCATTATAGGTACATTTAATTTTCTTAATAAGTGAACTGAGGCACAGAGAGATGAAGTGATATACTCAGCAAGAAAGTGGCAGTGTCAGGTTTAAAACCAGGGCTTGAGTCCTGCAAAAACGATCCAAGACACCATTCTTGCACTTTTCTGGCAGCCGGAACATCTTACAGCATTTATGGTGCTAGAGTTCTGGGATTCCTCAAGCGCACTGCTCACCGGCTGATTAGAAGACATTCCAGCCCATGCTCTACCTACAACACATTCTTCATTATGGCTATGTCTACACTACAGGGTTTTTGCGCTAAACCAGCTGATTTTGTGCAAAAACCCACAGAGTGTCCACACCTCAGGCACGTTTTTGCACACACAAAAAATACAGGAAATTGAGGGAACAGAGGGCTTTTGCCAGTAGTTATTCCTCTCCCCACGAGGAATAACTCCTTTTTGCGCAAGAGTTCTTGCACAAAAAGGTGTGTGTGGATGCTCAACAGGGGTTTCTTGTGCAAAAAGAGCGTATCAGAAAAAGCACAGGTGCTCTGATGGCCGTTCTGTGAATGGCAATCAGAACTTTCTTACGCAAGAGTGTCCATACAGTGTGGACGCTCTTTTGCGCAAAAGCTCATTGCTTTTGTGATGCGCTTTTGAGGTGTGGACACGCTTTTGGCAAAAAGTTTTTGTGGAAGATATCTTCCACAAAAAGCTTCTTGTGCAAAAGTCCTGCAGTGTAGACAAAGCCTATGGGTCAGACTCCTTCTGCCTCAGCACCCATGTGTTTATCCCATTCTCTTCTTTCCATAGCAAAACAGAGGGCTGTGATTGTAAGTACAGCCTATCACAGTATACTTGTGTGAGGATCTCTAGTGGTAACAAAAGGAGAGAGATGCTTTTGGGGATAAAACAAACTAAAGGAGATCAGTGACGAGAGTTGTTCAAGAAGATTCTGTATTTACTGAAATTTTGAAATGAATATATAATTTGTATTAAACTTCGTTTTGTGTTCACTTTCAACGAACTGTTGAATGAACAAGCTTGATTTGCTTGAATGTCCATGGAAAAAAAAATTAAGTCTCCACATATAAGCATGCACAGTAAAAGTGGTGTAGTTTTATATGGGCTGGGTCACTTGGACACAAAACCCCTTACCAGAACTGGAACAAAGTCAGACTAGATAAGAAACTGTCTACACTCTCTGCAGCTAGCATTTCTTGATTTACAAGAAAGGACCTCACACTTGATATATTTATGGCCAAGTCTACACTAGCAAGTTACTGCACAGTAAACCAGCCCCCGGCACTGTAATTTTGGAGGGGTCCATGCTGTTAAGGAATTTTAGTGCTCACTAGCTCCGAAGTAAGTGTGTTCTAGGTAAACCACCTCTGTGAGAAGTGTAGTGCTTGCTGCGCTCTGGATAGTGCGCAGGGGTACCAGTGTAGATACCATAGTGTAGTATTGTGTCTTGGCTGGCCTCCAACAACTTCCTCACAATGCCTGTTCTTGCCTCTCTGGTCATCTGTATGAAAGTTACTGCCCTGCTCTCAGGCGACTAATCCTCAGACCTGCCCTTTGTGTCCTTTTTTTGAAGTTGAAAGTCCCCTTCCTGTTTGCTCAGGGTAGTGTGTTCTTGGCGCATCTCTCCAGGTGGCCAAGCCTGTTCCATACACCAGGAGATCTCTGGCTTGGAGCCATGCTGAGGTGCTGGACCTCATCAGTATTTGGGGGGAGCTGCTAGTCCCAGCTGCATTCCAGCCATAGGAATTATGATTCCTATGGGCACATCTCAAGATGCATGATTGAAGGGGCCATGACTGGAATGCGCTACAGTGTAGGGTCAAAGTGAAGGAGCTGCAAAATGCCTACCACAAGGTGTGGGAAGCAAACCACTGCTCTGATGCTGTGCCCACAAACGACAGTTTCTACAAAGAGCTGGATGATATACTTGGGGATGATCCCCCCCTCCATTCTGAAGACCCTTGTTCCCTGAAGTCCCTTGGGGACTTAGGAGGCATCCAGTACTGGACCGAGATAGAAGGAGGTAAGTTGTGACAGTGTGTGCTGAGTGGCCAAGGCAGGATGCCCCGCGTCTCCCCACAAATCTCTGCAGGAGAAGAAGAAGAGGTATTCTGTGGGATACTGCACTGACAGGGTATATCTATACTGCACCCGTAGCTTGAAATAAGCTATGCAATTTGAGCTATGCAAATTGAGTGGCTTTTTTTGTGTCATTTTCAAAATAGCTTATTTTGAAATTTGGCACTGTCTACACTGCACTTATTTTGAAATCAATTGCTATTCTGAAACGTCCCTAACTTCTTGTGGAATGAGGTTTACAGGGTCATCAGAATAGTGAGCCAGTTATATATCAAAATAATTGCCACACTCAAAAGACACGGAATCGCTCCGATATCCCGAAATAGTGCTGCAGTGTAGACGTAGCTGCAGCTGACAGTGTGGACATCCAGTAGCGTTTATGCTGCTGTGATTCATGAGTAGCACTGTGCCTGCCGGTACTTTACATCATCCAGTGTAGACAAAT